AATAAGAATATGTATAACAACTTTTTTTCTTTTTAATTTAGTATGCACAGAATCTAGTGCAGTCAAATCATCATCATCCAAAGATGACATATTTGCTGGGCTAGAAGTTCGAGACGAGACACAATTGGCAGGTGGCAGATTTGAAGTTTAAAAAGATTTTCTCGCTTTCTTTTGCAGTTATTCACTCTATGCTATCTCGATGCGAGAACACTGCGCAGATCGGCGCTGCCTACCAGTAAGCGAAAAACCTGCTTGCACTGTGTTTGTACACTAAGACTAATACCACTTGTATAATTTATATACAAAGTTGTGTATATTTAAATAACATAAAGTCTGTTTTTTTTCTAAAGATAAAAGTCCAAATGACATTATGTTGGCAATACAATGTAAAATTGTCAATGCTTTCAAATTTTTTATGTAGAAAAGGCTTGTATTGCCAACATAGTCACTAAATTTTTGACTTGGGGAATTATCTTTAAAAATAACACAGACTTTACATCATACTGATACTACCACACGGAACGGAATGACCATTAAATAAATTTGTACGCTATGCCGGCACTCCGAGCACCCATGAGAGGTTGCTCATAAGAACACCTGCCCCAATGCCCCTATGTAGTTGGCGTCAGTGGCCTAAGGGCCTGTTATTGTGACTTATTGGAATCTTAAAAAAAGTAGAACAGTGCATTATAGACAATTAGCTGGCTAAACCGGGCTTAAATCACTTACCTAGCTAACCCAGCTTATCAGCCACTGTATAGTATTTCAGCAACACCGATTCACGGATTCACAGGAAAAAAAATATTTAGTCAAACTCCCAAACTAATTTGTTATATTGGTAATGCTAATTTAAATGGCTTTGGTATACTGTATCACTTCTGCACATTGCAATTTGCACTGACCTTTGGGTGGCACAATGGCAGACAGCCCGTTCGTTGGTGGATCGGAGGGTCGGATAGGGTCGATCGGGATCGCCGCGCATTACCGTTCAAATTTAGTAGGTAATAACATAAAATTATAATAGGTAACGTAGCTTTCATAAAATACCAAACTATTTTCCAAGTTTTTTCTGGGGGGGGCTAGCGACGTCTGGGGGGGGGGGGGGCGGCCCCCCTGTAGTTACGCCACTGTCAATATTTTTCTTTAATATTGTCAATGAACTTTAATGTCAAAAATCCTGCCCCCGGATTCTATTTTACGAGTCGAGTCGGAGTGTCTCGATATCGAATACGACAGCTGTAATACGTATCGAAATATCGTAAAATAGAATCGCTATTTTGACAATTCGATACGAATTACGACTGGACTCGTAAAATAGCATCCGACCAGCTGACCAATAAAGAAACAATAATGCGACATAGGTACGTTTTCGTAACCAAAGCAATCTTTGATTCGCTTTTTTTTTTGAAGACCCGATATATTTCATATATTGAGCCGCAATTATTGGTGACGATTTACGAAGCTAATGGCCATCTAATATACTTATGACCATATGGCAAATAAATTGAATTGATGTCTTGATGGCAAATTTCTTTATGATTTCCAGGTTCTACTCTGCTTCAGTATCAACAATCCGGTATCACTGCGCAATTGTCGCTTGATGTGGTTCCCAGAGATACGACGGTTCTGTCCCAGCACGCCCGTGCTATTGGTCGGCTGCAAGAACGACCTCAGGTACATGTACCGCGACGAGGCGTACCTGTCGCACTTCCGAGATCGAAGCCCATTTGTCAGGGCAACGCGCAAAAGCGACCTCGTTATGCCGGACGAGGCCAGGGATGTAGCACGCGAGCTCGGACTTTATTACTACGAGACTTCTGTAAGAACCTTACTTAGATAATATAGTTTTGTGTCAAGTTTACACGTATTGATTTTCTGGCGCCAGTAGGTGGCCATCAGCAGGCTATTTCAAAATTGATTGCGTGTGTTAACCTGCTCTGGTCATTTCATGATGGGCATTCAATGAATAAAAAAGTGCCCTATCTAATTATTGTATATTGTTTAATAAAAAATTGCGCATGTGAATCAATTCCAATGCCAGTTCTGGAGCATGTTGGGTTATCGGTCCTGAATGTGAATTTCTCTCTTTAAATTGGGATTGCCTTCCAGTTACTATGGACTGACTTTTTGCCGGTCCTTATCCAAATCTCTTGGGGCTTTTTGATTTCAAGGACTTATTTCAGGCTATACTGCTCCCAACTTGGAATACTAACTCTGTTTTCTCTATATTTTCTATCGTTGGTCATTTTCTTCAAATAACACAGGTTTATTCATTTATAATGGCAGCTTTCATTCGTGAAATTAAGTTTGTTATGTAGAAACATAATTTACCTGATCGTTCCTGTAGATAGAATAGCTCTTTATGAAACGGCCGAGACTATTACTGGGCCATTTAGCTTTCAGGACCTTCTCCAGCTGATTATGTCGAAAGAATCCCTGCATCTCATCTTTGTGAAAATGACACCCCAGGAGAACATAACATACATAAGTAAACATAATTTTTTATCTTTGTCTCGATATTTCATTTGATTCTCCAGGTTTTTATTCTCCTGGGGAAAAGTGTTCACTACCTATATAAGGTACGAGCGGTCCATTTTCTAACCCATACCTATGCGACCTTTTTGTTTGCAATATTTCTGCCGCCTTCACACAAATAATTACAAGATGCACAACACCCTTAGGCAATCAACTTGAATAATAATAATATGGCATTTTTAAATGAAAAAGTGTTCTTTCCAACTGCATTAACTGCAACTTGCACTTACACTGAAATTTTATACGCAAAAATATTAATTATAGGTTCTAACTTACTACGGAGTTAACGAAGTCTTTGAGAACGCAATTAGGGCCGCACTTATTGCAAGAAGAGCGCAGCGGTTTTGGATGACTAATTTGAAAAAAGTTCAGCGTCCACTTGTACAGGTAAGTGCCTAACTATGCATCGGATTTACTTGAAAATAAGGTGTTTCGATTAATATTAATATCGCATCTTAGTTTCCTACGGGTCAGTCTCCATAGAGAAAATATGGAGACTTTCAAAATAACTTAAAAATTTGCTCTTGAACTGGCCTTCCGTTTTAGTTTTTACTTTTCGCCAGATAAGCCAGGTCATTCCTTTGAGTTGTTTTTATCATCGTTTATGTAGGGGAAAGTACACTGAGATGGCATAGTCACTGAGATGGCATAGCACTTTTAATTTGTGAAAATCGGATAGATATGGCAACACCGCTGTTGCTGCGCGTTAATAATGCATATGCCGTCGTACCGACGCCATTTTTGGTTTATTTCTGTTCGCTTGTGAGTTGCTGCGTGAACGTTTTAGAAAAACGACGCTTAAGTTTTTTTTTTATAAATTTTTCTGTGCTTGTTATCGGACGCCAGTAGACAATATAAGGTAAGTTTCAATTTTTTCTGTACGTTTTGGGAATACTGTTGAAACTAATCTTGGTGGTTTACTGTTTGTTTGAAGTTTCTAATTTTCATGACTATATTTCAGTTTGCACGTGTATGTGGGTAAGATGGCATGGAGCTGGGTTGTCTGAGATGGCATAGTATGCCATCTCACCTACATCACTATCTTATATCCATCCGCTTTTATATTTCCTAGAAAAAATATGAAATTGGATTTAATGGACCATGCTCCAACGAGTTCCGTAGGATTTGCTCAGGAAAAGGGATGGATCAACGCAGAGGTCTTTCTCAAATGGTTGCAACATTTTATGAAACAAAGCAAAGTTTCACCTCAAAAAAAAGTTTTGTTGCTTTTGGATGGTCATTCTAGCCACAAAAACATAGATGTTTTAACACTTGCGAAGCAGAATGGCATCGTAATTTTCTGCTTTCCGCCACATTGCACCCACAGGCTTCAGCCGCTGAACGTTAGTTTCTTTGGGCCATTGAACACGTTCTATAATCAAGAATTGGATATTTGGCTCAAAAGCCACCCTGGTAGAACGATAACTCAGCGTATCTGCGAGCTGCAACAATAAAAAATGGTCCAAGTGGTTTCACGTCTGCTGGAATATTCCCACTCAATGAACATATTTTTCCGGACTACATGTTTGCACCTGCGGATGTGACTGATGGTCCAGTGCCAGTGGTACCAGGTGAGCCAAATGAAGTTTCAGTAACCGCCCAAGAACAGCCTGGTCCTTCATCATCCAAAGAGCCTGTGGTACCAAAAGACCCAAATGGACTTTCATCAGTAGCCGCCCAAGAACAACCTGGTCCTTCATCATCCAAGGACCTAAGCATATCCGAAATTTCTCCATTGCCGAAGGCAACTCTTACAATTAGATCCAATCGAAAGAAGGGAAAATTCGGAGTTTTCAATACTTCGCCAGACATTGAAGAACTGAAGTAAGAAGTGGCTAGTAAAAAAGCTCCAGTTTTAAGAAAATCTGCTCGCTCGGCGAAGAGAAAAGTCCGCCTGTCTTCGTCTTCTGGGAGTGAAAAAGAAGAGCCGGAGTATTCTGGATCAGAAGTGGAAGAAGATCCAGCCTGCATTTATTGCCTTGAACCATACAGTAGGTCACGAAGTAGGGAATGGTGGCTACGTTGCCAAATGTGCAAAAAATGGTGCCACGCAAAGTGTATTGGCCTACCTAGAAGCGCGAAAAACATAATTTGCGATATTTGCAAATAAAGTACATTAGTTTTAAGGTGTATGCCATCTCACCCATACGGGTTGGGTGAGATGGTTTTTGTAAGAGTTTATGTTTTATTTTTTTTTAAAGGTTAATAAACATCTCAGTCAGTTGTTGTGAACATTTTTGTATTAAAAATAGGTCCTATTGTTTGCACAAATTTTTGGTTTTTCTCATCTAGAAAAATTTGAATTTTTATTAACCATTTTCAAAAAGTATGCCATCTCAGAGTACTTTCCCCTACGACAAGCAGTTTTTTTTTTCAACGAAAGGGATTGCTTGGTCCTTGGTCGTAAGGTGAATCGAAACAAATACAGCACAGCTCTACTAAATAAACTTTTTATATCGGTTTAGGCCCCATTCAAACCACCGCCACCTCTAAAGCCCGAAGTACACGTTAGCGGTAGCTCATATCCAGAGCAATTGCGACACTTGTGGCTAGGGCGTGCGCACACCGACATCGTTCTCGTCGTCGGTTCAATGGGTTTTCCGGCTCACCGATTCGTGCTTGCGGCCAGTAGCGGGGCGTTCTATCGTTTGTTGACCGTGGATTTATTGGCACGTAGCACTAGTGATTCTAGTATGGTAAGCAAACACATCAATTATTTTTATCATCTCGGTTATGGTTATGAATGTTATGATAATACATAAACTAACTCAACAGGTAAGTTCGCTGGGGGACTTTGCTGATGAAACCGAATGTTTGGTGAGGGCAGAACAGAAAACGTGTAAACGAAGGGCTAGTTGTCAAGCATTACCGACAGCAAGAGAATTGGAGCATCCGGCTTTTCAGTGTATAAGAAACGTACAGCCGGAAGGACAGACTGTAGTCACCTTATCGAAATTGGTGACTCCAAGTGCGATGCAACAGTGCTTACAGTTCGCATACACTGGCACCGTTGATCGTAGCGCACTTAATTTAGAAGTAAATACTTTTCTTCAGCCAGGAAACCATAATTTAATACATAGTATTCTAGGAAACTCGTGAAGCTGCCGAATTTTTAGAGCTGCCCCAGCTTTTAGTCCTATTAACGAAGCACCCGTTCGTCGCACCCGATCCTCCAGACGAGAACTACGAGCAATTCCTAATGAGAAGATTCCAAGATGTCTGTTTGGACCAAGGTCTTTTCGCTGATGTTATTTTTGAGCTAGATGATGGCGTTTGTACTGCACATAAATCGATGCTGGCAGCACGATGTGACGTCATGAAAGCTATGTTTAGCGGCGATTTCCGCGAAAGTCAAGCCAAAGTGGTATGTTTTTGCACCTACTTTTCTGCAATTTGCTATTCAAATGATTCCTTTGTAGATTGAGTTTCCAGGTGTACGAGAATACACTTTTCATAAACTTTTATGTTTTTTGTACACTGATGAAATCCCGGCGGTATCCGCCTCGAAGTGCGTGAATATTCTTGAATTGGCAAATCGGTTGTGTTTACCTAGACTAGTCAATTTGGTGGAAAGGCGAGTGATCGAGGACTTGGAGTGCCTCCAACCTTCCGAGGCAATCGAACAATGTTTAAGACTACTAGAACCTGTTAAGGTCAGTTATACCATAAACCCATATTTAAAACAAATATTTGAACATTGAGTTAATTTTCTTATACCTACTACTAGCAGTGACGCTTTAACCTTTCTCTGGCCCGTAGGTCAATTATTTGGTATGGCCTTTCATGAGTGATTGTTCTTTTTTATAGGGTTTAATAAAATCATTCAGACGATTTCAAACTACTAACCTGGCAGAATATGAAAAATGATAGAACAAGAATGGTCACAAAACATGCTAGATGGTCGGAACGTCCTAAAAGAAAATGATGGCATTGAGCTCCCAGCCTACCAATCACCACATATGGATGCTGGGGACTAAGTGTACTGATGGGTGCTTAGGAAGAAAAGCTGCATGGCTTGGGATCAAATCTATTAGCGAGGAAAAGATGCATAAAGGGTTGCAACTCTGAGGAAAATTCGTACCACGTTGCCTGTGCATGTCCTACAAGCTCAACAACAACAAGGCACGACTTCGTGGTACACTGGACCCTCAAGACACTGCTCAAGTTCCTGGATGCTCCAGAAGAAGCTCAAAGAAACTTACAATTTGACAAAGCAGCGCAAACACTAACAGGTTCCTGCTGTAGTCGTTGCCAGTAGGGATGCACCAAGTATTCGGTTTGCCGAATATTCGGCCACTTTTGAGTAAATGCCGAATATTCGTTATTCGGACAGCAGCGATAAAGGTATTAGGCGAATATTCGGCAATTATTCAAAAACATACAAATGCACACAAGTCGCCACGGGAATTCAAATTAATGAAAATAAAATCGGTATTGCCAACTGCCAACAATGCCAACCCCAACTTACTCATCAACCCAACCTTTAAAACAGAAGAAATCCCAATGACACTGAAGAAGCCTAAGAAATTATGCAACCAACAATTCATATTAACCGAATATTCGGCCAAATAATGGCCGAATATTCGGCCAAAACACCAGGCCGAGGATCGGCCGAATATTCGTTATTCGGCCGTGACGATCGGCCGAATATTCGTTATTCGGCCGAATATCCGGTATTCGGCCAGTGACCCAAACCACTATTCGGTGCATCTCTAGTTGCCAGTTGCCACGTGCCCGTGCTGCGTTAATGACGCGACGGCGAATCAGCGCAGCTCGGTGACTCTAGGGCGTATTCCGGATTGATGCTCGATGGAGCGAGCGGAGCGATTCCAGAGCATCGTGACGTCAGGCAGTGCACTCTGGCCAAACCAAATGAGCTTGTGCAGTGTGAATTATAAGAATTAAAGAGTATTGAAATATATGCTAGTCCTGCTATTAAACAAGTCGATGTTTTTAGTATAGTGGGCTTTTATATTTTATATTATAAATTAAAGGCCAGCAGTTGGCCTTCATTCTCTAGTGGCCCGTAGGACATGACCTAATTGTCCTAACGGATAAAGTGTCCCTGACTACTAGTAGATACTACCTGCCCTAAATAAATATAAAGAAATCGTACATAGCCCTATTTTTTTTTCTAATGGTGTGAGCGTTAATTATTGATATTCGAGCGGTCTAATTTGATTTTTATTATTGTCAACAGTTAACACAGAAGTGACCGCGATTATGTACCTATAGGATTGAAAAGACTATATGTATGGCCATGGTGTTATTTTATTTCAGATACCTGCATAATATTTGCTTTCTTTAGTATTTATTGGAAGTCAGAATATCTGTCGTAAGAGGAGAATAACTTCAGAATGATACTACCTTTAGGTAGGTGCTTCAAATTGCTCTGAAAGACTGTTCTTGTTCTGTTCAAAGCGAGAGAAAAACTTTTAACAACGATTTTCAGCTTTCAAAGAGTTTAGATCTAAATCTAAAGAACCAGATGAGCTTCTCACAGCAATAATAAGTTGCAATCATCAGACGTTAGATTCAAAAATCTAGAGGTTGTAGCAAATTAAGCAGAAATTTTTATATTTTTTTTATTCTAGCTGCACAATGGACATCAGCTGGCAGACTGGTGTATGAACCACCTGTGCATTAATTACAACAAACTATGTCGAATGTCGCCGCGAAATCTGCGCCTGCTTCATCCAGATAACCAAGCATACTTGGTTGAGCACCGATGGCCACCCGTGTGGTATCTCAAAGACTACGATTACTATCAGAAATGTTTGGCGGAGCGCGACAAAGAGCTGAAACCAAACGAAAAAAACAACTCGGGATGCCTCTGCTTTTCACGCAAATCTGAGTCTGATCCTGCCCTTTCTTCAAGCAATCTTTGATATTGATAGGGATCCTTGAAAACTCTGGTGACACAGGGGTAATTTAAAGAACATTTTTGGATATTTATGGATAAATATTTGATAAATTTATGAGAGGAAAAAGAAGTGAACTACAAGTAGGGAACTGGTTTTAATGTTGAGATAATTGTCTGTTAATCAAAATAATTGTGTTGACAGTTTGTTTTTACTAATATAAGTTATCGATGAGTTGGAATCGCGGAAACTTTCTTCAATTACCCTTGTTTCAATTCCGTGCAGAATTAAATTTATGGTTTGTCATGAACTATAGAACTCCGGTGCTAAGGCCAATAAATATCCTCAGAACGCCTGAAATAAGGGTACGGCACGAAGTTAGCGATACCATTTTTTTCAATTTTATCAGTACTGCGCCCCTCGCAGACCTATAGAACTCTTCCGAATACGAAACAAGAGCTCATAAAAAAAGTTAGCAGAGCTATAATTTAGGCTCCTACTGTTTCCCGGTCGTCTTCAACAAAATACCTACACACCAACGTCTTTCTGCCACGGAAATCTGCAAACACTATGAAAGGCGCCCGCGTTATCGATATTTAATTTCTAAATTAGCGGGAAAATGGAAACGTTATTAGCTCTCTTAGGTAAACAAAAATTTCCGAAATGTCCCAAAACAATCAAAAACGTCCAAAAATAGCCACATCCTGTCGAATAAGATATTCTCGAAAAAAAAAAAAAAAATTTAATTCTCTTGAAAAGCAGTGTCGATATTATATCGATATCGAATAACGTAATCCGCGTTCGTAGGATTTCGCCTGTATTCAAGTTGGTACCCACAGCTTTTCATGCGACTATGCTTTCAATTTTAAGGCGTAGGTACATGCATGTTTTCTTGTTTTTCCTAAAGACATATTTCTTGTAATATTGTCTGACAGTCAGTAAAGTACCTACTCTCCTTTGTGGAAGAAAAAGTAAATTCGATATTTGATTTTCATCCAGTTTCTTCTTTCTTTTTTTTAGTATTTTCCTGCCTGCATGCCTTTATATTATAAAAACCAACGGGGTTTGAACCTATTCAGCTCTCGAGTTTTTGCGACAAATTACTTTCAAAATCAATTTTTATCCATAAATGTCCTACTCAATTTATTTGCTCCTCTGCACTAATGGAATCATGTAACAATTAATTATTTATCTATTAGTGGATATTTTGTGCCCAATTAGTAGTTAGTATAATACTTTCTTGGCTGACCTATTATACGATTGCCCATAAAATGGATCTTCGGCGAAGGGATTACTTTATTTTGCTTTTGATACAAATTTTTTTAATATTTCGCTAGATTTTGCTGCTTTATTAATCTATAGGTACACCCATGCCATATTAAAATCAAGAAATTTGATTTTTTTCTCCAACTAGAAAGAAAGTTTGCGTAAATTGTCAATAGACGTCGATCAAAGAATTGTAGCTGTGAAAATGTTTAATAAGTTTGTGTGTTACATGCAAAACTATATCTGTGTACGTAACAATATACAATATAATAGAGTACATGAACTATTTGTAAATTTTAAGGCTGTGTTGGTGAGAGTTTTAATAGATTCATATTTCCTATCAAGATTCCAGGCATATTTTGTCGTAGGTAATGTACGAAGATGTGGTAGTTTGAAGAAAAATCTGTTATTTATCTTAAGTTTATTGTCAATAATTGAAAATGAACAAAAATATCAATACTCAAAATTTCAAAATGGCTCATCAGAAAATTAAAATATCAAAATGAGAAATTAGCCAAATATTTAAGAGCTTATGTGAAGTAATGAAAAATGGACAAGCAATGAAAATTTTGAGTTAGTTTCTACGAGTTTATTTTTGTGTCAAGAAAATGCTGATAATAATTTTAACTTGGCTCCAATACTGTCTTGAATATTAATCGAGGCTATCTAATTTTTTTGCAGTGTACCTAGGTACTTTTACTACTTTTTTTCACCTGTCCACGTTCCTTTTCAAATTTGATATATAATCGTTGCCAGGCATTTAATAAAACTTTGGAAGAGTGTTTAATTTTTGATGAGCTGTTTGATGTGGACATAATTTATTCTCGTGAGTATTTTGTAGCTTATATTAGTTTTTAAGATATTAATGTATAAATGAAAACATATAATTGGCATAGCTTCTCTAGAAAAAAATATGTTAGCCATTCATCAGGAAAAGTTATGCCAATATGTCAATTATAATCAACAAAAAAAAACTACTAGCCAGATAACAATCTCAAAAGTGATTAATTTTATTTTTTATAACGGCTTGCATTGACCAAGCAATAGATAGTTTTTAGATATATGAGGTAACTCATGGGCTTTCTCCACTTTATAGTAAGGAATTTTTCGCCGTGTCTAGAATCCCGGTACCGGTAACACATTTTTTACCAGTAGTTTTGATGACGTCATCGATATGACGCACTTGTACCGGGATTTAAATGAATCCCGGTGTTTTGATTTGTTTTTATCGTTATTTATCAGCTGATTGGTATTTTAGGTTAGTTTATTAATGTTTTCGTTACTTTTTTGAAACATTTCAAACTATAACAGTTACGTTTAAGTTCGAAATACCTTATATAAATGATTTGTGTTCGGAAATATCGAACAAGTCATCCCAGATTAGAACTAATCTGCAATAAGATGATAGTAAACTAGGGTAGTTGTTTCCGAAAACCCCCGAGAATTTAAACAAATTTAAAATGATGTCACTTTATATAGCAGTTTATAATCGAATTCAATATTTATTAATTTACTTCAAGCCAATATGTAACTATACTGTTTAGGATGTAAATTAAAATAAATAGGTAGGGGAAACTGGGTAACACTGAGACACTTTTTTTTCTAATGAAAATATTTTACCATAAACCTTTAAAATATGGATTTTTTTTTTTCAGTAACACTCAAGAATAAATCTAAGTTAGAAATTTATTATGTTTTTGATTCTTTAGTCACTTACAAAGACAATATTTGACATAAACAGTTATCATGACATTTGTCTCATTGATACCCATGCAGGGGGTTCAATGAGACACTATATCAAATGAGAAATAATTACTTGAATAAACTGAAACAAACTTCTACAAATGACCCAGACAAAGTTTCAAAGCCATGGTAGGATCGATTTCAGTCTTTCCGTAATTCACTGTTCTATCTGTTTTGGCAAAATCATCTTAATATCTCTTTTAGAAACAGTGGCAATATCTCTAAAATCGGGACATTTGGGGAAACAAAAATCCCTCCTTTTTATCACTTTTCCTTAAAAATGGTAATTTATAATCATTTTTGTTATCACTATCGACTTCTGATAACAATTTTCCTATGTGATAGGTAGATTTTTTTCCTTTAATGTTTCAGTTGCAAATTCTACTAGAACTACATAGTCTCAGTGTTACCCATCTCAACATGTATCATTCATACCCAAGTCACTTTGAAAAAAAAAATGCCATTTTTTAGTCCCCCTTTGATTTTAATTAAGTTTTAATAAATCCAATTAACAGCAGAAACGTTCCCTTATATCACTTAAAGACTATGCGCAATAGAAAAAATCATCGTTTTCTCAAATTTCGCCGAAAAAGTTCGTTGCCAAAAAAAAATACCCGAAAGGTTGTACCCCCTTCCACGTTACAGACCAAACTAAAAATGGAAGATGGTAGAAAATAGAACCGATACTCCTCTTAAGACATCATTAATGTCTTATTGCGGCGACACCTATTTAAAAAGTGAAGAAATAGCTAATATTTTGAATGTCTCACTGTTACCCGTGTCTCAATGTTACCCACTTTCCCCTATCTCTCATTTTTTATTTATAAGTTTGCAATCACAACAATACCAAATTTTAAGTATTTTACACAAACTGGCACATTTCACATGTCAAAGTCTCTTCAACTTCTTTATAATTTTTAAATGTTTGTCCTACATTAAAAACCATGTCAAAATAAGTTATTTCACGTTGATAAACTCACGAAAACACTCCACTTTATGTTCACACATCATCAAAACAAGTTAAAAACATAAAAAGTTAGGTTAAGTTGGACTTTGATAAAACAGAAACCGCCAACAACTCGAGCAATGACTAACCTTTTTTTACCGGGACTTGCTTAAATCCCGGGTACCTAGTATGTCATATGGGTGACGGCGTCCAAACTACCGGTAAAAAATGTGTTACCGGTACCGGGATTCTAGACACAGCGGGAATTTTTAGTATACGTTTATTGAATTGGCCGTCCAGAAATTGCTTGAAACGATGGCTCCACACCCGTAGGCATATCATCTTTAATATCATTTCTATGTACCAACCATTTTTTCCAATAAATGTATCACGACATTATTAAATTTAAGCAATTTGCCAAAAAAAAATAATTGAAATTGTTCTATCTGCACCAAAAAGGCCTAAAATCAAAACAAAAAATATCAGATGATTTTCAAAAATTTTGAATTTTCAAATCAAAGTTTCAACTTCAGTATATTGCGTTCTGTTTTATATATTATACAAGATCTTTAAGTTTAAAAATAAAATAAAAAATATGCCAAATATTTGCTTAAATTTTAAAATAAAGTAATCCTGTAAATAAAGCGGCAGGTATCTACCTTTTGGAAAACAACCAAACCTTTTTATAACATCTACTTTAATAAATCACTTTATTCTAGTACTTTGTTTGCTATTAGCCTAATCTTAAAGCCCTTTCATTCCAGTTTTTCATTATCGTAGGGAATGGAGAATAGCCTCGTAGGTACTACACAATTTTCTAGCTAGATTAAAATCATATAGCCTGTCAAAAGTAGGTAAGTGAACAGAACCCGATGAGACTATTAAATGGATTCAAATTTGGGGTCACAGATCGGGTGTGGAAACGTTGGCTGTTGATTTGACCTCTGCAACATATAAGTAACAGCTTTTTACGCAGGATACCTATATCATGGTATGGAACATGATAGTAGTAAGAACGATTAGAGCAACGCATCAACAAACCTCGTTGTTCTCGGGATAAAATCCGTCAAGAGAACATTGACCATATTGACATACGATCGAAAGTAGGAAGGTAGGTATGAGGCGGAAGTTGGAAGATTCAAACCATTGGTACACGCACTCGTTTAAAGCTGTTGAGACTATGTTCAAATATGACGAAACTTTTTATTGGTTTCTTTATATTTTTATCAACAGCACGTACGTTCATAGGAACGAGTCCGTAAAATGACATTTTTCTTGGAGGTGTTTAGGAATTTATCAATATATCAATAAATATGCAAAGCATAAATTGAAAGAAATAGGTAGGTAATTTATAAAGAAGTCCGATATTTGGAATTTTTCTCAAATGTCAAAAGTTTCACTTTGCTTCGTTAGCTTGTTCAATTCTCTTTAAAACAAGCCAAAACAAAAGGAAATTGCTCAACAACAAAAAAAGTTACAGCTCAAAAACAAAATTCCTGTTTTTTTGAGCCCACCCTTTATATTTATATAAATTCTCCTAACAAGAAATCTAAAGTGTAAGAGATTCAGATAAGTCTCACAGGATAGTTTCCAAAATGAGCAAGCTTGCAGGTCATCATTGTGAATGAAATTGCTCGAAGAAACCTACAAACCCACTAATAGTACCTATAACACAATTAAGATGAACGTTTGTTCAAACTTTAAGGAATCTGACGTTGATACAGCTAAACGAAGGTCTTAGTCCATAAAAGAAATAGAACAACTGAATATTGAAGTAAATATACAAAAAGCTTATAATTGACACACCCCAACAGGAAACATACCAGTCGAATCAACTTTGTGTGAATTGGCCAAGCGAGAAAGGCGTGCTCCTAATGTTTCACTTTTTGTAGTAAAAGAGAGTAAGGTACCCCAAATCCTGAATATATTATACACTGAATATGATTAAGAGACTTAAATATGATATCCAAAAGCAAGATAGGTACCTATCAAAGTCTACGACGTCCCACAAATTTGAGAGGGCATAATCAAAAAAACTACCTATCTAAAAAAAGTGTAACAAGCTACTGCGAAGAAATTTCCTTAGTACCAGGCTAGTTTACCATTGGAATAACTTGTCTTAAGCAACACCACCATGGACTCAGCTTCCAAGAACCAAGAACTGCCTACCTTGAAATGAAAAACCAAAACTCAACCTTTTTTGTGCATTACTCGGTATAGACGGAAAAGGTTAATAGTTTTTGTGACAAAATAAGCTGATCTACTCTGCAGTGAATACCAAACCTAGTGAACTTAGCGACAAGACTCAACACTCTCATTGAATTTTTCCGCCTACTGTTGAAAACTAACTACACTGTAATCAAATTCGTAATTTTGCTTGATAACTGAAATACAAGTTCTCAAACAAAATATACGAACAATTTTCTGCCTCTTATATTTTTTAGGTGATTCCCCCCAAGCTTTGACAACGGTAGTAGATTTGGTACCGAAACGTCAGCGAAAAAGTTATGTAGGTAGTATTTTATTAAAGGAAAATAGAGCTGGGAGACTAGAGTAGGTATTTCATTTTATGAAAATAATTTGATAGATGAAATAGACTCTAATCAGAGAGCATGTAGTAATTCACAATACTGGAACAACAAAAAAATGAGTGCATAATAATAGGAGACATGAACTTAGATTTATTGAAGCAATCACAAACTATCAATAACTACCAAAACATTATACAAATGAATGGATTTATGTTCCAGAATGAAGTGCTGCAACAAAATGCAACTAGGGTGACTAGCAATACAGCATCTATCCTGGACCATATAATAACAAATCAAAATTTAGCCTGCACTATTAAACTACAGGACAGTGACCTATCGGACCACAAAGTTATGTACATAGAAATTAAAAAAGCAATATATTTAAAGAAAAAAGAAAAAGTAAAACGAAGTTTTTTAATGGAAAATAAATGGCTAAATCATATGCAGGAAAAAATAGAACAACATCAAATAACAACTTTTCAACAACTAGCTGAAATCATAAATACCTCAAAAAATGAATGCACGAAAGAATACAGTATAAAAATAAAACAAAACAATTATTGGATAACAAACAATTACCTATCTAAGCTCAAGGAGAAGGACGCACTGTATGTTAGGTGGAAACGAATTAAAAATGAATATTGTGAAACGGAGTTTAAAAAAGCCAAAAACCAACTAAACAACCTTAGAAAAAAACTGCAGAAACAGTATGCAGAAAGACGGTTTAATGAAGCAACGGGCAACGCAAAGAAGACCTGGGCAGTACTAAATGAAATATGTAATACCAATAAAAATAATAAAAAAAAAATACATCAAATAATCAACTCTAGTGGAAAGTTAGTTAAAAATAACAAAGAAATGGCTCAAGAATTCAATACGCATTTTTCCAAAATAGGAGATACTTTAGCAGACAAAATAAAACAAAATTCAAAAACTCTTTTCAACGAGGAGGAAGTTGAGGAAAGCATAATTCTTGAACCAACAACCCTTACAGAAATGAAAGAAACGATGAATACCTTAAAAAACAACTGTGCTCCAGGCATGGATGGTGTATTGAAAAAAGATTTGCAAACTCTATATTACATTATTGGAACAAAAATGGTAGAACTTGTTAATAACGTCCTGCAAACTGGAATTTACCCTGAAGAACTCAAAATTGCTAAAATCATCCCAATATTCAAAAAAGGCGAGCACGATAACATAAATAACTATAGGCCAATTTCACTACTCAGTACTTTTTCCAAAGTGTTAGAAAAACTTATCAAGACCCGATTGATAAATTTCATTGAAACAAATTTTAAGTTTGATAAACAGCAATATGGGTTTCAATGTAAAAGTAGCACACAAGGAGCAGCAGTGGATATGTTGGAATATGTTTCCAGTGAGTTGGACAAAAGCAAATATGTCATAACTGTGTTTGTCGACCTTCAAAAAGCCTTCGACACGGTTAATATAGAGTTAATGATGAGCAAACTATATAAAATGGGTTTCCGTGGACCATGCTATAACCTGCTAAAGTTTTACTCTACTGGAAGAAAGCACTTTACAACAATAAATAGTGAGAGTAGTGAACAACTTACTTGAATGTAGGAGTTGCCCAAGGGTCAGTGCTGGGGCCAATACTTTATTTACTGTATGTACATAGTTTGAAATATGCAAACTTAAAAGCAACCTACTTTAAATTTGCAGACGACACTGTATTGGTCTACTCAGGTGACAGTGCAATACAACTTGACGAACTTGTAAATAGTGACTTAAAGCAATATTTTAGTTGGCTGTGCTATAATAGACTTTCGTTGAACGCGCAAAAAACAGTATATATGGTTAGTAAACAAACAGGAAAATCACCCCTAAACCCACAAATAAACATAAACATAAATGAAGTACCTTTGAAAAGAGTGTGTGAATATAAGTACCTTGGCTTGCTCATTTCTGAAAAACTAACATGGGATAAGCACATTGAAACTGTGACAGGAAAAATAGTGCCAATGATAGGTGTAATTAAAAGATGTTCACATCAACTAAACCAAAAAACAAAACAGCTGCTCTATAATAGTTTTGTAGAGCCACATTTTGGGTATTTGATAACGTGTTGGGGAAATACAAGTATTGCACAAATAAATAGGCTCCAGAGACTTCAAAATAAGGCTCTTAAAACAATATTTGGAATGAACTTTTATGTCCCTAGTGAAGAAATTTACAAAAGTCTGCCTTGCCTAAAAATATGTGAGCTTAAAATACTAGAACAAACAAAACTTATTTATGCTATACAAAATAAATTGCTTAAAACAAATGTAGAACTGAATGAAAATAGACAATATTGCAACTACAATACCAGAAATAACCAAAGACTAAGAAATACCTATGCCAGAACAAAGAAAAAACAAGACTCTCCAATCTATAGATGCGTACAGGCCTATTACAAAATCCCAAAGACTGTACTGAAGGGTGTGATTAAAGAAATGTGTCATAACCTTAAAGAATACCTAAGAGCAAACAGATTATAAAACTGATATATTTTTTGAGTGCTTAGTTAAATGTTATATTTTACTTCTGTTATGTTATATTATTGATATTAAGGCCTCGGTGCCAGTTTATTCTAAACTGTTTTGAGGTCTGAAATAAATAAATAAATAAAAAAAAAAAAAATTCTTTTTTGAAATCAAGAAATTCCTAGTGAAAATTTCACTTGTGGTGTAATTATTAAAGGTAAGCGCGGATCAATAGGTACACATGGGCTTCAATCCTTTCTGCATAACTCTAGACGGAACTATAATGTGTCCAATACGCATAAGTGTGCTTCATCAAGTTTAAAATTACACATTGTTCGAAATTTGAGTCACAAGTAGTTGGTACAGTAATCCTACATGTGTCTCAATTAAGAATATGTGGCCGTTCAAAAATAAAAACTCTAAAGTCTTATATTTATAGCTGCGGAAAGTAAAAAGCAGTCAACTGACACAATTATTGGAAATACATTTTTCTCAACCAGAAATATTTTATTCTTAGAAAACTCTTAGAAACAACGTTAATTATTTGAGAAGTATGTAAATATAGGTACAGTGCGACAACTGAGTGAACCTTGGCGACGTATGAAGTAGCAGAGGGGAAAACGAAAACCAATACTATACAACGCGACGGGTCCCTGGTGTGGTGCACTTCGAAAATTGATCTGGGGCCAATCAGGAGGGTTTTGCCTGCATTCCTTCCTTCCACACAGGTTCATTCAGTAGTCGCACTTTACCTATAGAAGTATAGAACTACGAGAAATAAAGGCAATTTTTTAAACAGATGTATCTGACATGCACAAGCTAACAACATCGCCGGCTGAGGTTTCAGTCAAAGGAAAGTGTCTATGAAAAAAATGAAGTCTATGAGTGATAGTGATCTATTAATGATCATTATCAGTGCATTATTAGTTTTTTTGGGAAAATGCCTACCAAGCGAGATTTTTTCAAGTCACATAGTTTTTTAATGTCTGCTAATATTTTCAAAAGGAATAAAGCAATGGGGATATTGAGCTGATAAGAGCAGATATTACTTATTGATCTGTGTCAAACGTTGAGAAGAGGAGACTGTAACTGATTCCCACTATTCAAATGTAGTGGAAAATGCCAATAATTATATTATCAAAAAAAACTATTGACATTATAGTTTTCCAGTATATACGTAGGTACAGTTACCTTTTTTCAAATAGGGTTTCTGAAAAGTTAATAAGAAACTTGATTGTTCTGACTTGACATAAGTTTCCGCAAAAAACATATTGTGTTTAGTGTGACTTATGGATTAAGTAGGTACTAGAGAAACAATTTTTGTATACGCAGTTTCCTCTAAACGACATTTTACTCACATAACCTACATGCCTTCAGAATCCTAAACCTGCTAATGCTATTTTAACTTAAAACACCTTAATCACCTCTATAGACTATAGACAAATAAATAATAGAGAACAGTAATTATTGTTAACTATAAAGTATAATATTTGCTATCCTATATCGTTTATTTCCCTTTCTACTATTCAATATAATTTGTCTAAAGTTTATTAAAGTACAATCATTTAAAAAAGTTAACATTACCTCATTAATAACCTTAACAGTTACCTACCTAATTAAAAAAATTAAAGTACCTATGTAGTAACTAGAAGTATTTACAGGCTTATGATTGCAAAGGTCATTTTCTTCAGAAATAAATAAAAGGCATATCAAGTACCCACTCTCAAGTAATTATTTGACCTTTTATTGGCTTTTTATAGCCCAGATTAGCCTGCTAATAGTGTATAATGCACAATTCTTATTTCTTCATGCTTAATTTTATAAGTTCAGTTTTATATTCCGCCGTTTAGTCACCTCCAAGTGCCTAATTCGTAATTTAGTAGATAATAATTCACAAAGTTGACCAACTTTTAACTTTTTAAGAATTAAGCGCTAAAGTTTGTCCTGTGGGCATTTGTCAGTCACAAGTGGTAAAATTTGCCACTTTAATTGCATTCTGGTCTTGTTCTTCACCTCCATCGTAGAAAAATAAGTGAAACATCATTTATATTGAATTGGAATTGATATTTAGATACACTAAAGCTTCGCTAATCCAAAGTCCAATAATTCAAATAGGCAGATACCCCAGTAATCCAGACAAACTTAAAGTTCACCAATCAATACACTGTTACCCCCTGTATGTTGTATGTGGTCAGTAAATTTCTACTAAAAACGACGACTTATGTATTGATTAACTACAGATTTCAATGTATTTTTGTGACTTTTGAAAAGGTTTCAATAGTCAGGATGTTTCATTAATTCTTACCATGAATTTTATTGGTCCGGATTAGTGAAGCTCCACTGTATTGATAATATAATAACAAACAGCAAAAAAGCCAGCTGTCACTTTCTTTGAGCATAAAGCCTAGTACTTATAACCGCGAAATTCGCTCTTTTTCAACATTACTTTGACAATTTGACGTTTGATTCATGCATAAAACGTCAAATTGTCGAAGCAATGTCAAAAAAGAGCAAATTTGGCTGTTATGAGTACTAGGCTTAAATAGTCAAGCAATGTTTAAACAAGGTATAAACACTTGTTTCTGTTGTGCATTATAGACTATTAGCTGGCTAAACTGGTGTTATATTTTCTTTATGCTGACTAAACTGTTTCTCCATTTATTAACAATAGGAAAAAATACTATAAAACTATAATGTTACAGCTAAGGTTTTCAATTCTGCCTTCAATTCATTAAAAGTGTCTTCATATTCACTATGGGATCTTATCAGAACTGTCAAACAACCTCTTTTCACACCAAGAGCAGCCCCTAAATCTTTACGACTAGGTGTGTACACATAGGGAATGTCTTTGTCTTCACATACGCCAGGCAAATGGCACATAATCTCTAGAGGACTAACGTCTCCAGCAAAAATTACCAAGCCACTTTCGCCTTTGCGAATTCTGGTTTGTACATCTTTTAAACCACATCGAATATAGGTTTTGTGTTTACTGGCTAAAATTAGTTGATGAGAATTTTACGAAATCATTAAAATAATAGTATTTGTATTACCTTTTTTGATCAACTTGTAGCATTTCTTTACTAGTTTCTTCGATGCCATGGGCTTAGCAATTACAGTACAATTGGCCAATTTTTCTTCGTAGGATTTCAGCTTGATTTATAAACTCTCAGTCACCGTTCGTTGTCACCGTTCCCGTTCGTTGTCACCGTTCGTGTCGTTTCTGAGCATTTATAAACTCTAAACCGTTGCCGTTCCCGCTGACAAAATGTATACATTTTTAGGTTAGATTTATATCATAAGATTTATATTGTCGTTATCGATATTGTGTGTTTTTTTTTTCTCTGTAGGTACTTTGTAGAAAATAAATAGTTTTTGTTATGTTCGGTGTAAAATAGGATTCACTAATCACTATTCACTTCACCACCTCAACTGTGTTGCTTTGGAAATTAGAAAACACAACACAAACAAAAACACATCCTAACCCAATATATTTATCTTGAATCACATGACCAAAATTGTCTAATTTGATTGGCTACTGCACGAACGACGAACGGTCGAGTTAAAAGTTAACCAAGGTGGAAAGGTGTCGTTCGCGAGGAAAACGACGAACGGGAACGGCAACGGTGGATATAAATGCTTACATTAATTTCCTATATTTGAAGTTGGAACGGGAACGGGAACAACGAACGGTGACGGGAACGGTGGAGTTTATAAATCACACTTTCTCCTCGGCCCCTCGTTGGCTTGATACATCCATTTCGGATTCCACTGCACTTTCATTCAAACTCATTTTCTTGTTCTAATAAAAATTTAAACAAGTACATACAATAAACACAGGTGCATTTACAAAACGGAAAACAGTAGAGTGACAGGTGACAGGATAGGTGATAGACTCGAGGTCGAGGTGTTTTCTCGCGTCTCAAATGTTTTGAAAGGTATTTAAAAACTGGTTTAAAACAAAACAGTTTCACATGACGTCATATTTTCTCGGCTCGAGAAAATGGTTTCAAAACGTGGATTCGATTGTATTTCGAAACGGTTTGAACCAATTTTGATGTGATGTTATGGGTACTTCGCGAGAATATACTGTTTCAAATCGGTTTTGAACCAGTTTCAATAAAGTGAACGCGAGAAAACAGCTCAAGTTTTTTGAACCTGTCTGTGTAGCCGTAGCCTAATGGCGGGTAATAGTTGTATTCCTTTCACACCCAGAGCCAGAGCTGCTTTCCAGTATGCACATTGGCGCGCTCCAGTTTGTTTTTTATTTATTAAAAATTAAAGAAAATCAAAACTATAGCTGCTTACGATCAAGCACTTTTCTTACCTAAGTTAAAGTTACATCGATTAAAGGCGATTAACCAGTCGGTCATAGTTGACAGATAATCAATGAAGCAAACGTCATTTGTCAACCAATCGGTTATAAATGACGTTAAATGCATCGTTTATCTGTCAATATAACCGACTGGTTAATCGCCTTTAATCGACATTAGTTTATTAGCTGAGCTAAGTTGTTTGATCGTACGCGCAATTCATATAGGCTGATCAGCTGCCTATCAAGTTACGACTCACGTCACGTATTTCTAGTTCGGGTTCTAGTTACGACGAGAGTTTCAGGTTCAGTTTGTTGTTTTTATTAATTTATTTTCAATTGAAATTGAAACTGAATTGTTTTTGTACTACAGCACAGTTTATTTCACATTAAAAATGAACAATTATCTACCTAGAAGTGTCATGACGTGTGCAATGGCAATAATGAATAATAAATTTCATTAAACTAAACACCTTTTCAAAGTTCCTGTTCCAACGACCAACTTTCAACAAAATAAAAATAAAGAAACAACCTCAATTTAGAAATTATTAAACGTCAAAATTCAAAAAATGCGTACTTCGCGCCAACTTAGGTCAGCTAATGGCGTTTTCCATTTGTTGCACGGAGGTGCACTCAGTGCAATTTTTATATTCCATTTGACTGCACATTTTCAGTTTTCATTTTCCATTTGAAATTCAGTGCAATTATTTATGCACTCAGTGCGCATTTTTTGGCACGAGCTAGGAAGGCTCGTGGAGAGCCAGTGCAGTTTGTTTTGTTTTTGTTTACATGTACCGTACATAAAAATGTCTGCTAATTTCCAAAGAAAAAGTTGTTGCACTTTTGGATTTGATATGTAGCAGCAGCGAAGTTGAATTCTATGACGAAATTATATTATTTGAACGTATTCCGCAGCTTATCCACGTTGTTTTTAGATATATTATTGTTTATTATTGTTGTTTAAAAATATTGTCTGATGCGAAGTAGGTACTTTAAATTATTTATAGATAGTCAATTTCTTCTAAATTTAACGGCGGATGAAACCGCGGAAAAGAACTAGAAGAAGCTGTTATTTCAAATAGATGATCTGGACCATCGAACTAAATAGTTATTTAGTATGACTTCTTCTTCATTAACTCTAAAATTCATTTCAAAAACATCAATTTTTTAAATAGTTTTTGTAGTTCACTCTAGAACCATAGAACGACAGCCCAGACTAAACTTATTAATATTACAATTTTATAGGCTGTTCATTTGTACTGCTTTTCTTGTTTCAAGCAGATCTCATCAGCTGATCGGCGTTCACTTGTCCCATAACTCCCATATAATAAGCTCGTAAATAGCAGCTCCTAGCATATCTTCCTGATTTTGCGAGTAGGTAGAGTACAAATGAACAGCCTCTATACTATAAAACATGCAGAGCAGGTAACCAGAAACCGGCAAATGCTAAACAAAAACAACTAACCAAACGTGCGTTTTTATTCTTATCAAATTTGACCGATGGATCCACCGTTCTATGTCGGTCATTGTCATTTTCCATTCACTAAACAAAGATAGCTAACTCATCGGTGAATCCATCGATGAGAATAAAAACGCACATCAACATAAGATTTTACATAACCCCAGAATCCGAGCCGAGTCTGCATTTTTGCTTTCCATTTATACTGCACTGGTGCGCGTTTTTGACAGCACTAGAAAAATTCTCGTGCGCACTGAATGCTGCACTGAGACGACAAATGGAAAACGCCATAAGTTATCTCAGTTAAAAATCCGGGTGTCTTAGCAGGGGAAAGGGGGGAAGGCAGATTCCTTAGTTGTGATAGATCGTACGCGCAACTAAGTTAGATTCTTTAAGTTAGGTATGAAAAGTGCTTGATCGTAAGCAGCTAATATTAGTTGTATTCCTTTCAAGAGCTTGAAACACTCCAGCTACTCGCTTCGGTGCTTAGTCGCCCCCGATTTGCAGGGAACATATGCGTGGTGCAACAAACACTTTTCGAAAGGAATAAACGCGTGATGCCCCGAAGCTGTTCCGGAGCTCCTCCTAGGTGTGAAAGGAATACAACTATTTTGGAAATGTTCGCTCCCGAGATATAACAAGAAACAAATAAATAAATACCCACCCACGGATGTGAAAACTGACAGGTTGACGGGTACTTACAGCTCGGGAGCTTTTAAATGATGAAAGCCAGCGCATCTGTTCCTTTCAAATCGGGGTCGACTAATACCGGAGCGAGTAGCTCTAGTGTTTCAAGCTCTTGAAAGGAATACAACTAATGTAAAACTATTTTAACAAAAAGCTAAAAGCCGAAAATCCAATAGGTTTAATTATAGTGCGCACTGAGAGTTCGTGTTTTTTTTTTCGGCGAGCATGTAAAAATTCAAAGGATATTTTTTTTGCACTGGATTTGCAAATTGAAATCGCTAGAGTGCTCCAACCTTTCAACAAGCGTTTTTCAGATTTCACGTGATGGGGCGGGCAAAGTCCGGTGCAGAGCGTTGATAGGGGGTGTACTGTGTGACAGTTGGAATCGCAGGAAAGAACTTTAATCCAAGGATAATACACACTAGTTGTATTCCTTTCAAGAGTTTAAAACACTCGAGCTACTCGCTCCGGTGTTAGTCGCCCCGGATTTGAGAGGAACAGATGCGTGGTACAACAACACTTTTCGAAAGGAATAAGCGCCTAAAGGTAGGATTTTTAACTATCCGGCAAGTTGTATTCCTTTCACACGTAGGAGGAGCTCCGGAACAGCTCCGGGGCTTCACGCGCTTATTCCTTTCGAAAAATGTTTGTTGCGCCACACATCTGTTCCCTGCAAATCGGGGGGCAACTAAACACCGGAGCGAGTAGCTCGAGTGTTTCAAACTCTTGAAAGGAATACAACTATTGCGGTATGCAGTAGCGGTGTGCGGTACTGCGATGTTGCAGATATCGCAACCGCATGCTGTTGGCGGCAAATTTGTTTTTTAACTGTCAGGCAAATATTTTTGAAGTTGCGATCAAAAAATGGAATCAGCTACTTGTCGTAGTATTGCTGCGATTATCTTGTTCGAAGAAGATCAAGAAGAAGAAGCTGTATTTCACTGTTGTGTAAATCTCAGTGAAATATCAAATATTTCTAAAATTCGTGCACAAGAAGGAGCGTATTTTCATTGAACGTCACTTAAATAAGAGTGAAATTCAATTTAAAGCATATCTAAGAGTTTCACGTAACCTGTTTTACTATATTTTGAATGCAATTGAAGAGGCGAACGCTTTGAAACTGTAGTATTTTGCCATGTCGTGGAGCGTCGCACACGACTGCGGTGTCGTCGAAAAACATTTTCGAGTTTTTCAGCGGCACGCCGCAAAGACAGCTTGAGACGCCGCAGTGCCGTTGACGCATAACGCATGGTAACAAAACAGTTCGAAATTACAACATGGTAGACAACTCACCGGCACGTGGCAAAGCCGCACACCGCTACCGCATACCGCAATGCCGGATAGTTAAAAATCCTACCTTAACGCCGTGGAGCTGTTCCGGAGCTCCTCCCAGGTGTGAAAGGAATACAACTATTACTAACTGCTTATTGGCCCCGTTTTTGTGAATCGCGGCCATATTGTATAGCACCATTGCGACGTCATCATGTCGTCAGCTGTTTGCGCTAGCGGTTGTAGTTTAGAATATACATTTATAGCCGGAACACGAACACGAGCTTGATACGTTTGCGTGCGCAAAAGCTCGATTGCGTGCTCAAAATGGTCAGCTGGAAAGCGGCTTATGATGAAAAATATTATTTAATTTTGATCACCATAATAGGCAAAGAGGAAGATGCAAACGAGATCTAAAAAAGCGTTGTTTTAGAATGTCAATTTATGTAACGCATTAACTTGAATTGAGCGCTGGCGTCACCAGTTCAACTAATAAACACTTTAAGCAGGTCCTGAATTTTAAACGTATCCGTATCCGCATCGATCTACGTATGCGCAAAATGGATACGGTGGCTTCGTTGCGTTGCGTTGTACGTATCACTAAGGGCCTCGCTCCGTATCCGTATTCGAAAACGTATCTCAATCATTTGATACTATCGTGAGGTTCTTCCGACTTCCTGTCGGTTATCACTAAAATATCTTTAACAACATAAACACAGTACTTATAGATAAAAGCAAAACCTACAAACACAGCTACTAAATCAATACAACATTTTTTGAGCTAAGAAAACGTTTCATCTAAGGATATACGATCGTTTACGTAATGTATTGCCATGCTTAAAAGGACTTTTAGGCGGTCAACGTAAGTCGATGCGTTTACGGATGCGGATACGGATACGTAGAAAAATTTAAGGTTTGCTTAAAGTGTCTATTATCAACTGCTTAAAGCCTAGTCTCCATAGACGCGAAATCGCGGAAAGCGAATTTTTTAAGTGTCATTTTTTGGTGGCTATTTCCGAGCAAATTATTCCCATGTCTCCATAAGCGCGAAATTCGCGTTTTATTTAACAGGTTAAGGTTACCTATGTGTTGTTGTTTGTAATCAATTTGAATTTGATTTAAATGCTTGAAAACCATGAAAGTGATTACTAAAAAACAAAAAAAGATATGTGTCTTGGTGTTGTCTTAATTACATTTAAGGCCCTATTATAATTTTCCTCATCAACCAGCAAACTGTAATTTATGTCTGTTTTCGGGTCTACAATATTTAATTCTTTGGCAGTATCCATTCTTTATTAGGTATCTACAAGTACAAAACACATCAACGACTCACAGAGGACAGAGCACAGAACAGAGCACATACCGACAAAAACATAAACAAAACTAAACTGAAAGTAACACCACATAACCTCAATTTTTTTTGGCTAAATTTCGCGAAAAGTTAAAAAATAGTTAACTTTTTTGCGACGCCGCAAAAGGTTAAAAAATTCGCGAATTTTTCCCGCCATAAAAAAATCAAATGTTAAATGTCAAATTCCAACCAATCGGAAAATATCCGCAAAAAAAAATTCGCGATTTCGCGTCCATGGAGACTAGGCTTTAGAAAAATATTCCGACACAAACGAACGGCGTTTTTTATTACATGATTTTTTATTTGTGTGAAAAATTATTATTATTTTTATTCCGAAATCGAATTTGTTTTATGAAGTGATGAAGATAGTGGAGAGGACTTTACAGGTAGCCACTTCATACAAAGGCATTTCATTGCTTATGCCTCATTCTCACTTGCGCGAATTCGCTATTTTTTGACATTGCTTCGCCAATTTGACGTTTTATGCGTGTATCAAACGTCAAATTGTCGAAGCAATGTCAAAAAAAGGCGAATTCCGGGCAAGTGAGAATAGCCGCTTTCCAGCTGACGCTTTTGAGCACGCAATCGATGCTTCAAGCACGTGATCGTGTTCCAGCCGTACTGCGCTTCGAGAGCTTGCTAACTTTTGCGCACAGAACACTGTGCTGCACCGTGCTTGAAGCACACAGCTGGAAAGCGGCTAATGAGGCATTACTCCTTCTCGAAAGTAAGTGCAGGTTGAACATGAACTAAACAGCTTGGAACAAACTGCACTTCACAAAGAACGCCCCAAAGGAAGTACTGCTCCGAACAACCCAAACAAACAAACCTCAAGTATGCATAAGGTCAAGGCGAGAAATGACGCCGTTTACGGCATCAGTGGTGGGGGGCTTGAGATTTGATCTACACAGGCCTCATGAGGATAAGCTATCCTGTATAGTAATAGTGTGTATTATCCTTGCGTGAAAGTGGCCTATTTGTTGAGTGCTAATTAAAAAACGCTGGAGTGCGTTCGAAATCACCCTGGGCGTCACACCGAGTGCACACCAGCCATGAATAATTCATAGCTGGTGTCATGAGCCGCTTTCCAGTATGCACATTGGCGCGCTCTGGCGCGCTCCAGAGCACCTCGGGGGCGCCACGCACTAGATTTGTACCGTTCCAGTATCATGGCGTGAGACGCCTGTCTTATGCCTGTATGCACCATTTTCAGGTATTTTAGTAATTAGCTAATCAGGGCTAATTATGTAATCACGGTTAAAAAATCGATTCGATGTACCAAAGGATTTTGCATTTGCCTGGTATGCACCATTACACAAATTCTCTGATTAAACTTTAGCCGTGATCACATAATATTTTTCTTATGCACCAAGCGTTTTTTTCGCCTAATCGGCAATTAACTTAAATCGCTCGATGGCCTGGAATTTAGGATAACCGCGGCTAGTTGATAAAATGAGGTTAGAATTTTTTGTTTTTACATTTTAAAAACATTTTTCTCAAAAAAAAACTGGAAAAATAGTGTGTGGCGTGGGTGAGCAGTGAGAAATCAAAAGGAATGTGGAGGTGGACGACCTATTATTTGACGATGAATTGGATACTGATAAAAAATGATTATGTTAGATGGGTTTCCAACGCGTTGGAATGAGACGGAAAATTATTTTGAATCCTTGGATGGATGATCTTATGAAACAATAGTCGTAGATCTTCTTGAAAAGGTGGAAGATGCCCTAACTTATGATAGGGTGGTAGTATAATATGCAATTTTATGGCTCTTGATTCCAATAACTAATGACTATGTAATTACGGTAATTACTGATTATTTCAATTAAAATGCCCAGGATGCTTTGTTTGTTTGTGTATACCTAAAATTTATTTATCGCAAAATAAAAAAACGCAGATATGGGGTCTCTCCAACCCAAAATGGGCTATTATTAGGGCCAAATACTGGAACTGTTCTTCACAGTGGGAACTGATCCACTGCAAAATAAACAGGTCCGGTCCAAGTTCGAGTTCAAGTCCGGACCACTTTTGCGTTGTCTACGTTGTACGGACTCGGACTCAAACCCGAACTAATCGGATCACGCCGCGCGGGCCAGTTGAACAGGAAAAGTGTGGACTCGGAGTAGGGACACGGAGTCAGAGACGGAGTACACTACACCGACAGAGTCGTTTCGATCAACGGCTCGGGATTGTCGGGATCACGCCGCACCGGTGCGGCCGCTGGAACGGAGAGAGTACGAGAGTGAACCGCCGATAGGATATAAGCTGCTTTCCAGTATGTAGCTGTATTCCTTTCAAGAGTTTGAAATACTAGAGCTACTTGCTCCGGTGTTAGTCACCCCGATTTGAAAAGAACAGATGCGCTGACTTTCGTGCATTTATGGTTTACTTTGGGCTTGAGTACTCGGTGCAACAAACACTTTTCGAAAGGAATAAGCGCGTAACGCCCCGGAGCTGTTCCTGAGCTCCTCCTAGGTGTGAAAGGAATACAACTATTCACCATTTTCACGTATTTTCGTTATTAGCTAGCTAATCACGGATAATTATGTAATCACGGTTAAAATGTCGGTTCGATGCACCAAAGGATTTTGCACTCAAATTAGTTAATTGTGATTTTGTAATAAGGGCCAGCTGAAAGGAGCTCACCGATAACTTCGCAAATTTCCTATAGATTTTAATAAAAGCCCATTTTGGGTTGGCGGTATGTGGGGTTGGCGAGACCCGTCATATCTGCGTTTTTGTCGATGAATTTTAATTTTATAATCAAACAAACAAAACATCCAGGGCATGTAGAGCATTTTATTTGAAATAAACAGTAATTACATAGTCATTACCTAGTTATTGGAATCAAGTCATAAATTTGCATAGGATATATAGGTACTACACCCTATAATAATGATAGGGCATCTTCTACCTCTTCAAGAAGATCTATGATCTACGACTATTGGCTTATAAGATCAGATCATCCAAGGCTTCAAAATAATTTTCCCTCTCATTCCAACGCCTTGGAAACGGAAATCCATCTAACACAATTTCATTAGTATCCAAATTAATCATCGTCAAGTAATAGGTCTTCCACGCCATATTCCTGATTTCATTTCTCTTTTTTCCTGGCTCATCACCTCACACAAATTTTCCAGTTTTTTTTTTACAAATAGTTTGTAAAATGTAAACATGAAATTTGAAATCGGAACCAAATAAACAAAACATCCAACCTCATTTTATTAACTAGCCGCGGTTATCTTGTCCTAAGCTCCAGGCCATCTAGCGATTCAAGTTAATTGCCGATAAGGCGAAAAAAACGCTTGGTGCATAAGAAAAATATTATGTGATCACGGCTAAAGTCTTAATCAGAGAATTTGAGCAATGGTGCATGCGGGCATTAGTGTCAAATATGTCAAATTTTAAAAATAACTATCTATTTGTTTGTGCAGTTTGTTTTTTTATTTATCAAAAATGAAAGAGAATCAAAACTATATATTTTAAAATGTTCAATCTTGAGATATAACAAGAAATAAATAGATAAATAGCCACCCACAGATGTGACAGCTGATAGGTTGACGCGTACGTACAGCTCGGGGGCTCCACGCCCCGAGTAGCTCCGGGCTTCACACTCCCATACTGGAAAGCGGCTATGGTGTGCACTCGGACTCGGTGTGACGCCCAGGGCGATTTCGAACGCACCCCTGTGATTTCGTCCGTCGTTCGCAAAAGCTGACAGCTGTCCGTCCATACTGACACTGACAAGGTGAGGAGCCTCCTATCCTATACGTCACGCGTCAGTAGTGTGAGTGTGCTTTGCAGAGAAGATCAAAGCAAAGAGGTGGTGGAAGAACTGTTTGCTTTGACAAGAGTTTCAGCTAAACATTTGTTATAAAATCCATAAATTTGGTGCTATACGTTGATAAATAAAGTTATTAGGTCAGTTTACTAAGTTACTGTTCTGTTGCTTCCAGTATTCCAGAAAAACTATGGTATTTTTAGGGTTTTTTTCCAAGTTGTTTTGTGATATTTTCGTTTACTAACAGTGGCCTTAGTAATACAATCCAAGGCAAAATTTCTGTGTATTCAGCATTTATTTTTCAACCCTTTCGATTACTCCTAATTTATAGAGCAGTGGATTGATATTTATGAACAATATATAGAATTTTCACAGAGTTCAAAATAGTGATTGGGTTATTCTACTCACAATGGTGGACTGATAATCTATCGGTTTTGAATGTGAACAATTAATTATCTACACAAAATAAGGACTTCTAACTATAGGAGTGGATGGAATTGGACTATTAAAAATGCAACTGCGTTGAAATAAGGACGAATACATATTGACCAGTGTAATGGAGCCATCAGTATTAAAAAGACTAGGAGATGTTACGATTCAGAGGCTTGAAAAGCCTAAAGTGGAACCACCACCAAGCAATCCTGCACAAGTGGAAACTTTGAAAGGGAAAGATGAAAGTCATGAGCATTCTGATGAATTTTAGTAAGTTACTTACATATACGCTAATAATAATTTTTAATTTAATAATTTTTTTGCTGACTACCATCTTATTGATATACTTTTTATACAGTGTTGTTGTTAACCCTGGTATTTATTCATTGAGATTTTGAAGAGAGTCATATACAAGGTTTCGCAAGTACCGTTTTTGTCATGATTTCTAGTACCTATCTGAAATGCCTAATATAAATGTTCTCATTTCTATTAAACCCTATCAAAAAATTTGACCCGATAACTAATTTAATTACATTTGCAATAGGTAATTGGTAATCTTTATAATGATTGTATTGTTCTGAACTATTAGTCAAAGTTTGAGGTTTTTTTTTATCAGGTACCTACTATTGTTTGTAAAATAATATGGATATGACGGAATTTAATGGGCCACTTTCACATTTTTCAAAAACATTTTTAAATTATTTTTTTAGTCATTCTAATACTATCTGTATACTTTTTTTCCAAAAAAAACGCTTATTTTCGAAAAAAAAATTATTAAAAAATCGAATTTTTAAACTGGCGCGAAAACACGAACTTGGTTTGTGACGTCACACACCAGAAAATCAACAAAAATGCGAGGATGCCAAATTTCTTATTAGTAAATCATCACACATTTCACTAGCTATAGTGGAATTAATTAAACAGTGTATGCACGTGATCAAAATTACTGACATAAGCACGTCGCAATGTTGCCGCTATTAACTTTCGTTTTACTTTGACATACCATGTCTAGTAAAATTTGTTAGCAAACAAACATCGATTTTTATATGTATAGATAGTGTATTATGAACACAATCTAAAAAAACTACTCACTTTTCATCGTAAATTTGATTGCGAATAGAGCTAACATCAAGGTGATCTTGATTCGTAACCCGCTTCTTATGTGGACGTTTTTTCTTTGGTGAATTTAAAGCTAAATTATCCCTAACTTTTTGAGAGATTTTACATGGGATTTTACTCACAGTGGTTATAGGTACCAATATTCAGTGCAGCTGCAACAAGCTAGAAAAATATTCCCAATTAAAGCCCCAGAAAATTTATATTTGATAGTATCAATATACTTCACCTCTCTAACGCTATTTAATGGCAAAAATGGGCCCCCATTATCTTGTTCCTGTTCAAAGAAACTAATTAGAGACACAACGAGTTTCTGACTCTGACTATTCAATGGCTTTGGCATTTCATAGATACACAAATAGAAATAGTTTCAAATTATTAAAATCAGTAACCGCAGATTTGCAGCAATATTTGGCAACATAACCCATGAGTGCCAATCTAAATGTCATTTTATCGGCCGATTCGGTTAAATGCCAACAGTGTTCTGTCTTTTTTTAACTAAGGTTAAATAAAAAGGAGAATGAGCTCTCAGCTTGAAACGAATTTTAATTTCTTACAAACTGCAATTGGCAATAATTTCGACGACATTGATCACGTGCATACATTGTTTAAATAATTTCACTATAGAAACTATTCTTGTCCTTTACTACATTATAAAAAAATAAAGGATAGGTGTAATCGTTATAAACTCATTTGAATTTCGCATTTCTACCTGTGGCAACAAAAATGTCAAAATCGGCTTTAGCCAATCAGAGAGCGTTTTCAATCACATGATTTTTCGTTTAAATTTTTAGTTTTTATTTATTAATTTATTTCATAATTTATTCATCATATAAACGGGTTGTACCCAATCGTACATAATATGTATTTAAAATTAAATTTTAAAGAGTGACTTACAAATAAAACTAAGTAAAGTAAAACAAAAAAAAAATAATAATAATAATAAAAACAGTAGACTTAAACGATTTAAACACACTAAATACTAATTTAACACAGACAAAAGACTAGGACATTTTCCAAATAAATAAAGCTATCAGAAGGGTGGAGTTTGTTTGTTTTTAAGTTTGGACTTTAAGGCATTGAGACTTATGTTAAATAGATCGCCATCAAATGAATTTGCTGTTCTCATTATCCGGGTCAGAGGAGAGTTCTGGCCATAGGAAGTTCTGTGAAATTTCAATTCAAACGTTTTACCTTCCCTCAAAGTTCGTGAAGGCACATGAAATTGGATTAATTCAAGTAATTCTGAACAGTCAATGTAATTAGATATACCTAATTTTAAAACATATCAAAGTATCTGATATCTCCCTTCTCCTTTCTATACTGTGCAAAGCTATAGTCTTTTCCAATAGTGTATAGCTTAAATTGTCAGATGATAACCCCTTCTTAAAAGCAATATATTTTAAAAACTTCCTCTGTACACTTTCTAACTTTTTTACATAGGTTTGAAAGAATGGATTCCAAATGACAGAACAGTTTTCTAGCTGAGATCTAACTAGAGATGTGTATAATAATTTTATTATGTTTATGTCTTTAAAATCTTTAGTATTTCTCTTGACAAAGCCTAACATACGCATGGCTTTGTTATAACAGTTCTCTACATGGGCAGAAAATGTAAGTTTATAATCTATTAATACCCCAAGATCTCTAATTATGTTCAACTTCTCCAAATATTTGTTATTTATTTTATAGCCATCTTGCTGTCGCAAACCAGATGATCTACTAAACTTAATCCACTTACACTTATCCACATTAAGGATCATTTTATTTTGACTACACCATTCAGAAAACCTATCCAAATCTTCTTGGAGTCGATTGGAACTATCATGATTTGTTATGCTTTTATAGACCTTCAAATCATCAGCGTATAAAAGAAATTTGGAGTGCACAAAGCAAGACTGAATGTCGTTGATAAACAAATTGAATAAAAGAGGGGACAAATGTCCTCCTTGTGGTACACCTGACCTCACTTTAATGGGATCCGACAGTGTATTTTCGATTTTCACAAGTTGCACCCTATCTGTCAAGAAAGACTTTATCCAGGTCAAGAGATGTCCTGTGATTCCATAAAGTGACAGTTTATTTATTAGTAAAGTGTGATTTATATTGTCAAATCCCTTTGAAAAATCGGTGTAAACTGAATCTACGTCATATCCCAGTTCGAGTTGATCAGTTAAGAAGCTAGTGTACACTAGTAGATTTGATACTATTGATTTATTTTGCACAAAACCGTGCAGATTAGGTATGATTAAGTTTTTAGTGCAACCCTCTAGGATGTCTGTGATCACTGAATCCATTATCTTTTTTGAGATTGGCCTATAGTTCTCTATGTTATTTTTATTCCCGTTGTTTTTAAGAATAGGGATTATATAGGTTGCTTTCCACTTTTGAGGAAAAATACCCATTGACAGTGAATTATTAAACAAGATCCATAATGGCCTTGCGAGAGAAAATGAGCAATTTTTTAAGAATATTGGGGGGACATTATCAGGACCTGGTCCCTTAGTTGGGATTACCGAGTCCAATCTACTCATAATATCAGAAATTTTAAAATGAAAGGAGTTAACATTTAAATCATTAAAAGATAGATGGTTTCTTAGCTGAATGTTGTCATCACTGACATACACGGATGAGAAGTGAGTGGCATAGGCATTTGCAATACCAGCAGGACTTGAAAGTTCTTGATCCTGATATTTGAGTAATTTAGGAATACCACTCTGGTCTTTTTTAGAATCCACATACTTCCAGAAAGACTTAATATCCAATCCAATATCACGCTCAATTTTTTTAATGTAATCATTATAATTACTAGTCGATAGATTTTTACATTGTGTTCTGATATCGGAAAAAAACTTATAATTGGCATCGGAAGGAAAGCTTTTAAATTTTTTATGGACTATTTTTTTTTCAATGGTAAGCTGTATTAGCTCTTGGCTAAACCAAATTGGAAACTTTTTCTGACTAAAATCTTGCAAAATATTGTTCATTCTCAGTTGCATTGAAGTATCTGCGTCAAAAAATATCATAATTTGCCATATTCCCAGCACGTGAAAGTGGCCCATTGATTTGACCGAGAATTTGTCATTGTTGCAATTATTCTTTAGTTCATACACTGTTCTTTAGTTCGGTAAGGTGGTATAATTATTTATTTATTTATTCCAAGTAAACGGGCATATCCCAATCAGTTACAGAATTTCAAGAAAGAAAAAAACCCTATGACCTAAATACTTAAGAACTAAGATAAAATTCTCGATAAAATTGGTAAAAAATACATAGCCCAACTAGAACGTGCGATGGAAATTTGTCTCAAAAGTTCTATCATTTCTAAGAATTCTTTCTGGAACATAAAATTGAAGTTTAGAAACCAGTTCAAGACAATTCAGTGCATTGTTAACCAATTTAAAACAAGTAATAATGTCGATATTATCTCTACTTCTTTTAAGACTTTGAATGGATAAAGTTTGTTCAAGATTGCCATAGTTTGAATTTTGACATTTAAGTGTAACTTGTAGGCAATATATCTCAAAAACTTTCTTTGTACACTGTCCAATTTATCAATGTAAACTGAGTAAGTAGGATTCCAGATTATAGAACAATTTTCCAGGTGAGGCCTGACATACTCAATGTGCTTGATATTTATATGCTCAGTTATATTGCTGTTTTACACTTTTCAAAAGAATTAAACCAAACTAAAAATTAAAATGTTTAACCTTCATAATTTGATGCTGTCGTTTGTACAAATTGAATTGAAAATTGAACTAAATTAAATCAAAAGTTGGCCAACTTTCAACTAAGAATAATGTATAGATAGTGCGACTTGCGAGAATTGAACAGTGGCAATTATGTAAACCAATATTTCTATCAAGCTCCATTTCATTGCAACTGTGTATTTCCATATCGTTTTTTCCTCCCCCTTCACCTCAGACCAAAATGCTCTTTTCACAGTTGCCAACCTATACCTAATCCTTCTACTTTGTTTGTAACTACCAATTAATGTCACACATCAAGTAATGTATTTTTTCTACAGCCGTGCAGAAAAATCAATTTTCCGCACCGATACCCGTGCGGAAAATTAGTTTTCCCGCACTAGTGCAGAAACATTTTTCCGCACGGCTGTCAAAAAAAAAAAAAAAATGACTTCAAATTATGTAGGT